ACCCGCTCCTATGTAATTATAAATAACGAATTCTAAGGCAACGCAAATATTAAGGTTAAGAGGCTGAGCTCGTAGATGATGATAAATAAAATAGTTATTTATAATATATTACATTTCTGACTGTATATCCCTGTAATTATTACACACTGTAGCTTTAAATGCAGTCCTACCATCTTCAGCACTTTCTGCAAAGGAAAGGACTCTCTGTGCAGAGGAGGAAGCTGTACTTGTGCTGGAATCAGAAAAGAAGGCCCAGTCCAATTTCTCTCACTTAAACTCGGTTTTGCACGTTCATGTGTAAGGGTAGTATGACCTAATAGTTGTAAGAGCTAGGGGCAAGTGCCCTTAAAGCCTTAAAATCCTCCCTTCAGATCGAGGGTGGTCAAGAGCTTACTTGGAACTAAGTGGCTTCCCAGAATACTTTGCAAACTCATTCAGCGAAAGGAGAAATGGCGTCCAGCTGTGGAAAAGATGCGCACAAATGTATTTATATTTTTACAATTAACCACACATTTTTTAAAACGTTTGTAAAAAATATCATAGATGTAAAATACAACTGAATTCCATACCATTGTGTTAAAACATTATTGCATAACCATTGTCCAATTTCATCTGCCTTTCAATGGAGCCAGAGGAGTCAAGCCCCGCTCGTTCAGCCTGTCCAAGCAGCAACAGGTTTGGTTGAGAGCGGCCCAAACACCAGCAAAGCAAGACAGCAGAGCGTCCAAAGCGCTGCAGCTCTAAGACAACCCTAAATCAGAAAATCCATTAGAAAACTGTAGATTTAGGTAAAGTAAATTACAATCTAAACAGGTTGATTACCAAGGAGTGGAAATACAGCCTAACCAGGAAGAAAGCGGACCAGCAGGTAAGGACTAGATGGAAGCCGCACGCCGCAACAACCTCCAACTGCAGCCGCTAACACCAGCAGAGCAATCCTGCAGAAACACACACAGGTATGGCACAAAAGCCCAACCACTGAGTGGGCAGGGTGGAACACCATCCCACCACACTCAGTTTCCATGACCTGCTCCTTCCTCAGCTCCACAACAGTCTCTTGATCAATCACGCCGGTTGTCATGAAGTCATTGTTTATCTCTGTAGATATAACTCCAGTAGTTTGTTTATTCATTTCAAATTCTCTGCTCATCATTGTTCACTCACCATAGCCTGTGTTTGTCACACGTTATCTAACTTCCTGTGGAGCTAATTAAATGACAGTTTGCATTGACATTGTATGTGAGATTTGGTTTTTAAAATTAAAGAACTGTGAAACTGAACACTGAAAATTCAGACATTCAAAACGTTTCAACATTCTCTCTAAAAAGTGTAGAAATAAAAAATGAAGCATTTTTAACTGCATCCTTTTTTCAATGAGGCATTCATAGTCACTGTAGTTCCTGCATCTATGATGTCCCTACATGCTGGCATTGTTTTTACAGGCGGGGTTGTAAGGATCGATGATTGAGATTTTAAAATGTAAAAAAATC